ACAAAAAAGGGGCATTTCATAATGAAAAAGGGGTCAATTCTCCAAAAAGACATAATGTGTATATACCTAACAAGACAGTGTCAAAATCTGTGAGGCAAAAACTGATAGAACTGCAAAGAGAAATAGATGAATTTACTATTACAATTGGAGACTTTGATGCTTTTCTATCAGAAATAGACCAAGCAGGCAGAAAATCAGTAAGGATATGGTGGAACTGAAAAGCACCATCAATCAACTGGATCTAACTTACAGTTATAGACCTCTTCACCCAACAACAGTAGATATACATTCTTCTTAAGCTCACATGGATCATTCACCAAGACAGACCACATTATGGGCCATAAAACACATCTTACCAAATTCAATAGAAATCATACACAGTATGCTCTGAGATCACAATGGAATTCAACTAGAAATTAATAACAGAAAAATATCTGGAAAGCCCCCAAATCCTTGGAGATTAGATACCTTTCTGAATAACAAATGGGTTAAACAAGTCTCAAGAGAGATTAAAAATATTTTTTTTTCCCTTTTTGTCTTTTTTCGTGACCGGCAACGGATCGCAACCCTCAGTGTCGCGCCCGTAACGGACTGGGACCAGCAACGGGATCGCAACCCTTGGTGTTGCGCCCGCACCTCGCTCAGCCAGTGAGCGGCCGGTCTGTATGTGGAATCCGAACCCTCGGCGGGAGCGCTGCTGCGCTCCCAAGCGGCGCACTGTAGCAGTGCGCCACCGGGCCGGCCCAAAAATATTTTAAACTAAATGAAAACAAATATACAATTTATCAAAATTTGTGGGATACAGAAGAGGGAAATTTATAGCACTGAAGACATCTACGTATTAGAAAAGAAGAAATATTTAAAATCAATGACTTAAGCTTCTACCTTAGGAAACTAGAAAAAAAAGAGCAAATTCAATCTAAAGTAAGGAGAAGAAAAGAAATAATAAATATTATAGTCGAAATCAATAGAGAAAACCAAAAACTAAAAATTGGGTCTTTGAAAAGATTAATAAAATTGATAAGCTTTTAGCCAGGTTAACTAAGAAAAAAAAAAGAAAGACACAAATAAGTAACATCAGGAATGAAAGAAGGGCTATCACTATTGTGCTCATGGACATTAAAAGAATGATAAAGGAATATTATGAACTCCATGTCCACGAATATGAGAACCAAGATGAAATGAACCAATTCCTTGAAAGACACAGTCTACCAAAGCTCACAAAGGAGAAATAGATAATCTGAACAATCCTATATCCATTTAATAAATTGAACCAATAATTAATAACCTTCCAAAACACAAAGCACTTGGTTCAGATAGGTTCACTGGTGAATTCTATCAAACATTTAAGGAAGGAATTATACCAATTCCCTTCAATCTCTTCCAGAAGACAGAAGCAGAGGGCGCTCATTCTATGAGGCTAGGATTTTCCTTATACCAAAACCAGATAAATGATATTACAAGAAAGGAATTAAAGACCAATACCTATCATCAACATATAAGGGTACTTCAAAAAGTTTGTGAAAAAATAGAATTAAAGGGTAATATGAATCTTTGCATAAACCTTTTCAAGTACCCTCGTAGATATAAAAACCCTCAACAAAATATTAGCAAATCCAATTGAGCAATGTATAAAAAGAATTATATACCACAACCAAGTGGGATTTATCCCCCAGTATGCAAGGCTAGTTCAACATTTGAAAATCAATTACTGTAATCCATCATATTGACAGGCTATAAGAAGAATCATGATCATACCAATAGGTGCAGAAAAAGCATTTGATAATATTCACCATCCATTTATGATAAAAACTCTTCAGCTGGCCTGGCCAGTTAGCTCAGTTGGTTAGAGTGCAGTATTGATAACACCAACGTCAAGGTTCAGATCCCCATACTAGCCAGCTGCCCAAAAAACGAAACGAAAATCCAAACTCTCAGCTAACTAGGAATAGTGAGGTATTTCCTCAACCTTATAAAGAACATGTACAAAAAATCTATAGCTAACATCGTACTCAATGATAGATGTTTCCCAAATAGAATCAGGAACAAGTGAGGATGTCCCCTTTCACAACATCTATTCAGCATTGTACTAAAGGTCCTAGATAATGCAATAAGACAAGGAAATAAAATAAAAGGCATACAAACTGGGAAAGGAGGAAATAAAACTGTCTTTGTTTTCAAATGACTGGATTGGCTATGTCAAAAATCCCAAAGAATCAACAAAAAAATCTCCTGGAACTAATAAGCAATTACAGTAAAGTTGTAGGATACAAGGCAAATATGCAAAAATCAATTGCCTTCATATGTACTAAAACTGAGTGATTTGAATTTAAAATGAAAAACACAATACTATTTAATTAAGCATCAAAAAGAAAAAGTTATAAATTTAATGAAATATGTACCAGATTTATATGAGAAAAATACAAAATCTTGATGAAAGAAATCCAAGAGGAGTTAAGTAAATGGAGAGATAGTCCATATACCTGGACAGGAAGACTTAATACTGTCAAGAGGTCAGTTCCTCCCAATTTGATCTATAGATTTAATGCAATCCCAATCAAAATCCAAGAAACTTATTTTGTGGATATCAACAAACTGGTTCTACAATTTATATGGAAAGGCTAAAAACCCAGAATAGTCAGCACAGTATGTAAGGAGAAGAACAAAATCAGAGGACTGACACTACTTGACTTCAAGACTTACTATAAAGTTACAGGACAGTGTGGCATTAGCAAAAGAATAAACAGATCAATGGAACAGAATAGAAATAGACCCATATAAGTATAGTCAACTGATCTTTGACAAAGGAGCAAACACAATTAAATGGAGAAAGGTAGTATTTTCAACATCCACATGTTGATAGTGGACATCCACATGCAAAAAATGAATCTAAACACAGCTTTTTGAAAAGTTAACTCAAATTGGATCACAGACCTAAATGTAAAATGCAAAACTATAAAACTCTTAGGAGATTACACAGGGGAAAATCTAGATGAGCTTGGGTTTGGTGACGACACTTTAGATATGACACTAAGGCACAACTGATGAAAGAAACAGCTGGTAACATGGAGTTCATCAACTTAAAACTTCTGCTCTGTGACTGACATTGTCAAGAGAATGAGAAGACAAGCTACAGGTAGGAGAAAATATTCGTAAAACACATATCTAATAAAGGACTATTATTCAAAAAATATATAGAACTCTTCAAAGTCAATGATGAGAAAACAATCCAATTAAAAAATGGGAAAAAGAAATGAACATTTACCTCATTGAAGAAGATACACAGAAGGCAAATAAACATACGAAACTATGTTCAACACCATACGTCTTCAGGGAATTGCAACTTAAAACAATATTAAGATACCACTACAGACCTATTGGCCAGAACCCAAAACACAGACAACAAATGCTGGCAAGAACGGGGAACAAGAATTCTCATTCATTGTTGGTTGGAATGCAAAATGGTACAGCTACTTTGGAAGACAGTTTGGAAGTTTCTTACAAAAGTAAACATGCTCAGGCTGGCTGGATAGCTCAGTTGGTTAGAGCATGATGCTGTAACATCAAGGTCAAGGGTTTGGATCCCTGTACTGGCCAGCAGCAAAACAAAACAAAACAAAATGTAAACGTATTCTCATCATACAATCCAGCAATTACACTCCTTGGTATTTACCCAAATGAGCTGAAAACTTATGTCCACACAAAAACCTGCATACAAATGTTTATAGCAACTTTATTCATAATTGTCAAAACTTGGAAGCAACAAAGATGTCCTTCATTAGATGAATGGATAAACAAAGTGTGTGGCACATCATGCAATGGAATATCAATTCAGTGGTTTAAAAAAAAAAAAAAAAAAGATCTATCAAATCACAAAAAGACATGGAGGAACCTTAAATGCATTGCTAAATGAAAGAAGCCAATCTGAAAAGACTATGTAATGTATGATTGCAACTATACCATATTCTGGAAAGGCAAAACTATGGAGACAGTAAAAGGCTCAGTGGTTGCCAGGGTTTGGGGGGCGAGGAGAAAGGGATGGATAGATGAGGCACAGGGGATTTTCAGGGCAGTGAAACTATTCTGTATGATACTGTAGTGATGGATACATGTCATTATACATTTGTCAATCACAACAGAACATACAACACAAAGAGTGAACCCTGATGTAAACTATGGACGTTAATAAGGTATTAATATTGGCTCATCATTTGTAACAAATGTACCACACTCAGGGAAGATGGTAATGTGTGATGTGTGTATATAGGGATGGGATGGAGAGGGGAGAAGGTATATGGGAACTCTCTGTACTTTATTCTGAATTTTTTTGTAGGCTTAAAGCTGTTCTAAAAAATAAAATATATTAATTAAAAAGTTAAAAAGTATATTGTTAAAAGTCTTGCTCCCATTGTTATCGACATCCACCCAGTTTCCCACTCCCACTAACAGTTAACCATTTTAACTAGTTGTGAGTATCCCTCAAGAGTTCATTAGAAATACTATCAAATATGAAAACATATTATCATCCTTCTTTTTAAGAAACAAAACAGTAGCATATAATACATACCGTTCTGCCCTTTTCATTTAACAGTATGTTTTGGAGATCATTCCGTAACAGTACAAAGTAACTTCCTTGTTTTGTTACTAGTTTTACTACAGAATTTTTCTGTAGTATTGTACCATAATCCCTACAGGAAATTCTTAAAAGTGGATGGCTGAGTCTAAGAGTATATGCATTCTTATTTTGATATTTTCAAATTGCCCTCTATAAGTTATATGAGTTACAGTCCCAACAGCAATCACAATCCTACAGTTATGTCTCAACAAAATGTTCTCAGCTTAACAACTGTAGATAAAACTCTTTACTGAAGGGGGTGGTTCGGGCAGGAGGAGAAACACACACACACACACACACACACACACACACACACACACACACAAAGTTACCATCAACTTCCCAGAGAGAAACAAGAATTTAATATTACCCAAATAATTCTTACCCAATTGAAATTCAGTCTTGGGCTTGATGGATGGAAGTTTACATTGCCATTCAAAAGTATTTGTATAGGAACTCACTGGTTTAGTAAGCCCAGATAAAAGTTTGAGAATTAACTCATCATCCCATGGGTTCTCAACAGTGAAGTCTTAAAGGAATGAGGAAAAAAAAAAAAAAAAAAGACATGAATTCAGTGCCCAAGAATTTTACCAAAGTAAGTAGAGACAAAGTAAGTGAAGACATTCATTAAATAAGCTTTCAAAAGCCTTATCCTTTAAAAAGCATTGATTCAAATAATAAAGAACTATTTCCAAATGTCAAAATTGATAGTTCTGCACAGTTAATCACTTGCTATTTTAGATCTACAAATGTAAACCAATATTCAGTTGTGACAAAGGGAATCAACACCAGGTGCATATGCTCCACACATCCAGAACTTCCAGATTCTGCCTTTAACACAAGGATGTTTCTAATGTGTTCAGATATATACATATTCTTTAATTGCTTTTCCATTTATACCTACAAAACACTTATACTACCTATGTATAATTGCAGGTTTGAGATGTATTTTGAGTCCACAAAAGGGAAATTCTTTTTCTTTCTTTTTTGAGATTTTTTAAAAAATTTATTGAAACATAATTGACTGTACATATCCATTGAGTGCAGTGCTGAATATTAATCCCTGTCATACAAAGGTATGTGATACACAAATCAGGATAATTAGTATATTCAACATTACACAATGTAATCACTTTAAATTCCTTTAAAAATTCTATTAGAAACACTTATCAAAGACTAATTCAACATGGTTAACACTTACTTAGTGCTAAGCACACACAGAATTCTGTTCTGAGTACCTTATGTTTAATTCATCTGGTTCTTAAAATAAGCCTCTAAGGTAGGTACTAGCATCACGTCCACTTTACAGAAAAGGAACGAGGAGTACAGAGAATTGAAACAGTCTTAGCCAAGATCACATAACTACTGAGGAGAGGGAGCTAGGATTAGAAGCTAGCCAGCCTATTTCGAGTCTGTGTTCTTAAACACTGTTCAAGACTGTTCCTGTAACATGGGGGGTGAGGCATTGTCTCTTTAACCTTTAGCCTCAATTTACTTTTCTATAAAACGGCATAACAGCATTAGATTAAATGCCTGGCAACAATAGGCCCTCCAGTTCTAATTCCTCTTCCAACAGTAGTTATTTTGATACTTTCTAAAATTAAATTGGATTGATTTGCCCTTCAAGTATGCTATTGTTCTACTATATTGTGATGCAGTTACCCAAGTTTTATCTGAACTCAATGACATTTATTCTACTAACAATATTTAAGTCCCCACTTTTTGAGCTTCTTTTATGGAACAGCTTTTCCCATGCTATTGTCCTTATTCAGGGGCACATCTAAGATCGAGCATCTGTTCATACTTGGAGCATTGACATTCCCATGTGAACTAGTCTGCGTCCAATCTGCTTGAAGCCCAGCGATAACATCTGGTGGATCCTTCGCAATGGCAATGTCAGTGTCTGTGAGTTTACAAGCCTCAAGGCCCCGCTCCGCCTCATGGGAAAGTACACCACCTGCAGTAGGCAGGCTCAGGTGGAGTAAGGATGCTGAAGATTTGTCAGAGGAGACTGCTTGTTCTGGGATTTTCTCTTCAATTGGACTGGATGTGTGAAAGGCACAGAGAAGAGGAAACAAAAACACCGCATGATTAGAAGCCTACTGAATGTGACTGCATAAAAGTCCCACAAAACCATTTCCTTTTCATTTTAGGAATAACATTTCAAAACAGCCTCACAGACTAAGAGTTGATTAAAGCATTTTCTTTAGACAAAAAAATATGCAAATATAGTTAGTACAATATGAATAGGAATTAAAACATCAAAGACTGGTAATTTATTAGATAAATAGGTGAGGCAATACATTGGATATTCTTTATTAGGAAATGTCAGGAGGAATGAGTTTCTCAAGCTGCATCTGAGCAACATAACCATAATCATCACTGAATACTTAACTTTATTCCAAAAGTCTCTTTTATAACATTGAGACAAACAGAAAATGTTAACCATAATCTAACAACTTAACACTCTGGTACATTTCCATATATATATGGAAGTAGAGGTATATATATAGTTGATCCTCATTATCATGGACTTCACTTTTGTGAATTCACTCACATGCTAAAATTTATTTGTAACCCTCAAATCAATACTCATGAGGATTGTGCAATCATTTATAGATAATGCAGAGTGACGAAAAATTTGAGTCACCCAGCACACGTTCTGAGCTCAGTTTTTAAAAGGTGACACTCAGCCTTGTTTCAGCTCTCATACTGTAAACAAGCCTTTTCATGGTATACTTAGTACCATGTTTTTTGCATTTTTATGCTTTTTGTTGGTGATTTCGCTCTTTAAAGTGGTCCCCTACTATAGGGCTGAAGTGCTGCGTAATGCCTTAAGTGCAAGAAATCTGATGCGTTTTACAGAAAATATGTGTAGTAGATAAGATTCATACAGGCATGAGTTATAGTGTTGCTGGACATGAGTTCAATGTTAATAAATCAACAATATATATTAAATAAGTTGTCTTTAAACAAAATGTTATAACAAGAGTCTGGTAGAAACCTAAGTTTGTACTTCCTCCAGGAGCAATGGTTCAGTATTTGCTAATTCAGTGTTCACCGTGACTTTACAGAACAGAACTAAAGCGAATAATGAGAATCAACTGCATATGTATTTCCACATCTATATCCAAATATACACAAATATATATTTTTTATACAAATACATTTATACATATAATTTCATACACTGCTATTTTCGCTTGTCACATTTTTCCTATTGTAAATTTTTTTCAAATAAACTTTATTTTGGGATAATTTTAGATTTAAAGATATATATCAAAGATAATAGAAAATTCTCACTCCTCACCCAATTTCTGCTGTTATCATCTCTTACTGCAGTGGTTTGTCAAAACTAACAAACATACATTTGTTATACTACTATTAACTAAACTCCAGATTTCATTCGGATTTCACCAGTCTTTCCACTAACATCCTTCTTCTGCTCCAGGATCCAATCCCGGATACTGCTGCATTTAGTTGTCATGTTTCTTTCATCCTTTTTCATCTGTGGCAGTTTCTTAGTCTTTCCTAGTTTCCCATACCTTTATAGTTTTGAGGAGTACTGGCCAGGTATTCTGTAGAATGTCCTTCAATGTCCCGGATACTGCTGCATTTAGTTGTCATGTTTCTTTCATCCTTTTTCATCTGTGGCAGTTTCTTAGTCTTTCCTACTTTCCCATACCTTTATAGTTTTGAGGAGTACTGGCCAGGTATTCTGTAGAATGTCCTTCAATTTGGGTTTCTCTGTTTTTCTCAGGACCAGACTGGGATTACTGGTGTTTGGGAAAAATATCACAGTGGTGCAGTGCCCTTCTCAACACATGTTATCACCATGACTTATTATTACTGGAGATGTTAATCTTGATCATTTGGAAAAGGGGCTGTCTCTCCAGGTTTCTCTACACTCCTACCATAGATTTTAATGACTGTACACCATTTAATCCAGTGGATGTATGCTAGCTCCATGGTTCTCAGATATTGAAAATATTTCTGATGTTTTATATTACAATCAAACAGATATTAGGGGTACCCATACACACAAAAAGAGTTGTTTTCATACCCTTGTACATTGCTGCTAGCAACTTGAGTGACCAAATTACAGTGGATGCATAAATGATTAACAAAACCTTTCTCCTTTCTCCATGAGAATTTGACCTTCAGTTAATTTTCTACCTCATTTCCCCTGGAAATCTGAAAAGGTAGACTATCACTTTGCCACCATTGCTTATGGTAAAAATATCCCTCACTGGTAAACTGTACTTGAACTAGAAGAATTAAAAATAGGTGTTGGGAACCCATAGCTTCAGGCTTCCTTGAGTGTGATGACTCTCTTAATGGGCCTGTCCCTTGTGGAAACCTTAGAAGCTAAATCCATGGAGTTGTTGTTAAAAGCCTCTAACTTCCGTGGGAATAAGGCTTCGAAGCTAGGGAAGCTCCTGCACCAGGTCCTAGCTAAGTCTCATTTTCTTGCAACTGAGTTGTAACATGGGGGGTCAAAGACAATAGTTCTGTGGACAGAGTATACTCTGCTGGCAACTGTGATTTCTGTCTTATATACCTCTAAGTTCATCTTATGCCACAGGGCTTCTCTTTTACCCTAACTGCGCTCTTAGTGCCCTGATACATCAAAGGCATATGTTCATCACTATATTTATATTCAGAGAGTATACCTTACATATAGGTAAGAATACAATGAAAAGATTTTAAGTCTCCTATTTATGATTTTCAAACTTTCCATTTAGAATCTTCGAGAAGAAAATTATAATACTGAAAGAATCAAAGTTGGCAGAAGATTAAAACAGTGTAACACACACCTTTATCTTCTAGCATGTGCACTGACTCTGCTGGAAGTTTGTGGAATGGGGTAGAAGCAAGCTGTGCAGCAAATGTAAAGTCTCCTGGGCTCTTAGGAGTGGGTGCCAGGGTTTTGTTGCAGCGAATACCCCATATGGTTGAATCATCTAGAAACTCTTCAGCATGAGGCACTTCCTACAACAAAGGATAAACTCAAAAAAGCAGCAATCTCCCTGTTTTGTCCATGGAATTTTATACATTAACACTTTAAGACTAAAAAAAATGAGGAATTAAAGAAGAAACAGATGTCAACCCCTGGCTAACACACAGCCAAGGTCATCATGGTTCTGTTCTTTTCCCTAGAACTGGGATACTTCATTTTTAACACACCACATTGGAGTCACACCACAAGGGTCACATTTTTGTTTTCAATTTTTACTTTTTTAAAATTTGAACAAAGTCTAGATTTACAGAAGAATTATACAAATAGTACAAAATTCCTATATACCCTTTACTAAGCTTCCTCTAATATCAACGTCTTATGAACCCCAGGACATTTGTAAAAACTAAACAATACAATTAATTACATTTAGACTATTTGGATTCCACCATTTTCCCACTAATGTCCCCTTTCTGTTGCAGGATCCAATTCAGGATCCCATGCTGCATTTAGGTGTCATGTCTTCTTAGTCTCTTCTAATCTGTGATTGTCTATTGGTCTTTCCTAGTCTTTCTCGCACTGACACTTTTGAGTACCAGTCAGGAACTATGTACAATGTCCCTCTAATTTGGGCTTACTTGATGTTTTTTCATAATTAGACTGAGGTTTATAGATATTTGAAAAAATATCAGTGGTAAAGTTCCCTTCTCATTATGTCATATTAGAGGATACATGCTATCAACACGACTTATTAACTGGTGAGGTTAACCCAATCACTTGGTTAAGATGTTTCCTCATTGTAAATTACTTTTCCCTTTCCATATTTTATTTGTTAGAAGCAAGTCACCAAGTCTACCCACACTCAGAGGGAGGTGAATTAAATTCCACCTCCTAGAGGAAGGAACATCAAAGAATTGGTGGATAAATGTTAAAGCACCACAGTAATTAGGAAATAATTTTGGTGAAATATGTGAAACAAGATACCTTGTTTCTTAAAATTTCACTCACTAACTCTAGTATTCATTTGTGGATCGTGCCTGCAACAGTTATTATTGTGGTGTTCTAGTGGTCATTTTCTAGAGTCCACTCATCCTTTCTACATTACTTAGAATTCTTCTGTAAGAAGGTTTGTCCTTTCTCCCCCACTTATTTAGATCAATATGGATATTTATTTTATATCTTGGGTTATAATCCAATACTACTTTATTCTACCTATTTGCTTGTTCAAATTGTTGCAGGTTTGGCCATTGGTTCATCATTCAGGTTGGCTCCCATGTTTTTTTGATATACCCCATGTTTTCTTTCTTTTTTTCTGTTTCTTTCTTTTTTTAAAAAAACACTTCCTTGGGCCGGCCTGTGGCTCACTCGGGAGAGTGCGGTGCTGATAACACCAAGGCCACGGGTTCGGATCCTATATAGGGATGGCCGGTTTGCTCACTGGCTGAGCGACGTTTTCTTTCTTTTTTTGTTTTGTTTCTGTTTCTTTCTTTTTTTAAAAAAACACTTCCTTAATTTCCCGCACTACAAAATGCTCATCTTGTATTTTTCCTGCCCCAGCCCTAGAATCTGGTATTTCTCCAAGAACACAAAGTTCAAGTTTTAGAATCTGTGTACAAAGATAGAAACTGCTGAGAATCACACTTCACAAACCCCTTCAGTGGCCCATAAAGTGCCACATGTGGTTTTAATATATATTTTACTGTTTACATAAATTCCACCATATCTCTTCTAACATTAGAAAAAACTGGCTGTTTGTTTCTTCAGGTGGAAACAGGAAAAAACATCAGTTTAGGGCCAGGATATATTGAAAATGCACTATGTTTTTTTCAGTCAAAGCACATGTAATCGAATAGTTCAGTAAAATGCACCTTTGAAGTGATGCCACTGTATTTTAAATCCTGTCCCTTATTTGGGAAATTTTTAAGAAGGTCAAAGAGTTCATCGGAAGGATTAAAGTGCTGGGCAATAGATTATTCAAAAGAATCCACTGTGGAGTTAAAGGCACGAGCCAGGGTTCAGTACAGCTTCCCAGCAGGGTGACTTAGTGATGACTACACCACTCTGGCACATCACAGCCAGATGGCCAGGCCAGGGTGATGGTACACTATGGGGTAACACCCAGGACTGGGATGGAAACTGAATGTTCACTGGACACATGGCTGCTATGATAAAAGAATGCTGTGGGCCAGTGAACAGGTGAAACTTGTCTGCTGAGGTATTCTGATGAGGGATTATTCCAATTTAATTCAGATTTTTTGGGTTTTCTCACTAATATTCCACTATAGGCCTCACTTCCTAGGTATAGGAAAAATATATATCCTTCAAGTGGTTCCACTTGTCTAAAGAGAAGGTTCTCTGAGAGCAAGGATCATATCAAATTTGTTTTTATTTTGTATATCTATCACAGTGTCTGGCACATAACAGGCATTCAAATAATTGTTGAATAATATTTTAAAAGAAACACATTCTTCGTATAACATATTTTTTAGCACAGTTTTATGTTCACTGTATCATTTTATTGCCATGACCATTTGGTTGTAGACCCATCGCACAGATAAAACAGAGATTCGCTTACATTTGGTTTTGAAGGAAATCTGCTCGTAGAGCGCTCTCCAAAGGTCCTGGCTCCTGTGGGTTTATTTTTAGGCTGTGGTAATCTAAAGAAAGATTTACAAAATTATAAACAGTAAAATATGTTTTTAAAAAACTGACCATTTAAGTGCTTTAAAATTAATATTATAAAAATTAATATTTATACAGATATTCTTTTCTTTTACATCAGTTCTAGCAACGCTGAGTGCAAATCAAATTAACTTGACTATATAGACAAAGTTGATTAAGTGAGGATGGAAAATACAGACATTTCTGTTACACTGAGTTATAACTCTTTAAAGAGCAAAAGAATTAGGGCCATGGTCAGTAGGATATCAGGGAGCATACAACATTTTATTTCTTGTTTTCAGTGCTCGGTCTGGCTAAGGCATTCCTCCTTGAGAGCTGGCCATGCCCTTTCTCCTTTCTACCTGTGTACTAATTTCTTCCATACCACGACACCTTTAATTCACACTGACAACTCTTTCCATGGTTTTAACTATTAACGGTGAAAATTCCTGGAGCTATCCCACTCTACACCCAGATATGGTTCTCTAATGCAATGTCCTTCAGCCTTAGAACATACTGTCTCTGCGGCATCACCAAATATAAGCCACTTTCTTTCCTACTTTCTCAGTCCTTCAAATATAAACAGAGCATGTATGGAAACCTGTTCTGGTGAATTCATTCATGTTGAATACAATTTCAAATCCACAGAATCCCTCAGTTCTCTGCTAATTTATAACCATACTGTTTTCCTTTTTCAACACATGCTTTTGCTATGGAAGGTCTGCTGTCTTGGAACTCCCACACAACATTGTAGTTCTGGAGAAGTTTAGCAACACCCTCCTGGTCATGTGGTCAAAAGGCTCATTTGACCACTTGATCCGCAGTCCACAATCTCTCCCCACATGCCCGAGTCCAGGGAGAACTGCAGCATCCAATGGCACTGTGATGACATGTATCTCTCCCAGTGTTATTTTAACTAGAGGTTTTTTTTACCCATAATTTTCTTTGTTTCCATCTTCAAACACAGGAAAAGCAGATGACAGAGAAGAGATAATCTTATTGACTCCCCAAGCGCCAGAAGACCTTGCATTTTCTGCAACAGAATAAAAAATAGTATTTACTTATTGTAGTATCTTTTTTTTTGGGGGGGGGTGGCTGGTTGGTATGGGGATCTGGACTCCTGACCTTGGTGTTACCAACACCATGCTCTAACAAAGTGACCTAACTGACTAGCCCCCAAAACACTATCCTTTATACTAAACTTCAACTACAAATAAGAAAAAGGAATAACAGCTTACAGAAAATAACTAGTATCAGTTTTTCAATTACTAGGTAATAAGGTAAACCACATTGCAGTAAGATTAAGTGACTTAATCATGGTCCCAGGGTCTAGCACTCAAACCTCAGGTCCTAAGTTCCTGCTACACATAAAGAACGGTGTTAATCATTCTCCTAAAACAATGTTATTGTCACCTGACTCACTCAATAAAAGCTCTCAGTGGTTTTGTTTTCCATTTCCTTTAAGAGACAATTAACCTTTTGGCTTTATATTTAAAGTCCTCCTGAGTTTACTTATCCTTCTCATGATCTCTGGCTTCCAGTATGAACCCTGACTCTAAACAAATGTGTGCTAGTTGCTGGCCTCCAACACTCCACCCTGGCCACCTCCTGAGTTTACTTATCCTTCTCATGATCTCTGGCTTCCAGCATGAACCCTGACTCTAAACAAATGTGTGCTAGTTGCTGGCCTCCAACACTCCACCCTGGCCATTCCTCTATAGGGAAAGGCTCAAGTCACACTTGAGTACTCAGCCTTTCCTACCCATGGGGATTACATCCTTTTTTAGCACTTACTATTATTTTTTTAAAAAACAAGTCTTTCACACACATTGAATATTCTGTCTAGACTATCATATTTTTATTTCATGTATTCCCCACCCTTATGTGACAAGCTAATCAAGGGCCACATCTTGTATAATCCTTGATATTTCCTATGACAACCACCCACAGTGCTATGTACTTAGTAGCTTTTAAATAAATTGTTATTACTCTGAAACTGGGCTTCAAATGCATCTTCATTTTGATCTAAAGATGGCCATTCCTTTTTGTCATCAGAAATATCAGGAAGTGTAGGAGCCTGAAACATATTCATGATGAAACCTTAAAGAACAGAAAGAATAACTGTAAACAGGTTACAAAAGAACTTTCGTTAATTTGTTGTCAGGTGCTACACATGCAAATAAAACACTTTACCTAATGCTTCTTTTGTGTGCACAGTGGGTGACGGCTGCACTGTGGATGGTGTTGCCTGAGCCATTCCCAGTGATGTGTCTGGAGTTGTGTGAAAAGAACTTGTGCTAGCAACCTTATGTATTTCACACCCTAGTAAAGAAATGGGGACAAAACGTAGGATCAGGAGGCAAAACAGAATAATTTAAAAGGCATATGCTTTAAGTAACATAATTAAACGAGTTTATCATTGTCAGTAATCATCACTAAGGACTTCAATTATTATAGTGATTTCATATATTTCATTTTTATCTTTACAATAGTCCTGTGAGATAGGTAAGGCAAGAATTACCCTTTTGTAGAAAAGGAAATGAAGGCTCAAAGAGATTAAGTGTTTGGTCTGTGATCTCACCAAATTAACAGCTTGGTCATTAATAGCACCCTTAGCTCCACTGCATCCCAGGTAGTACATGTTCATAGTCACACAGGAAATCTTAAGGGTGACTTCCCATCTCACTCAGCTGGAGTCAGACATGGTGTAAAAGGCCCTGCACAGCCTGAACCCTGTTCTCTCAGGCCTCACCGTCCTTCCCCGCCACTCACCCTGCTGCACTGGCCTCACTGCTGTGTTTAGAAAACAACAGGGAAATTCCCACCTGAGGACTCAGCACTTGCCGTTCCCTCTGCCTGAAACAGGTTCCCCAAGCTAGCTGCATGG